AAAACTATAGATCAATATCCCTAATGAAAATGGATGTAAAAATCCTCAACAAAATACTAGCAAACATAGTTTAACAGCACATTAAAAAGCATTCACTCTGATAAAGTGGGATTCATCCCAGGGATGCAAGAATGGTTCAACATATGCAAATCAATAGACATGATACACCATATTAATAGAATGGAGGATCAAAACCATATGATCATTTCAATAGATGCAGAAAAAGCATTTGACAAAAGGCAACATCCTTCAATGATAAAAACTCTTAACAAATTAGCTATAACAGGTATGTAATTCCATATAATAAAGGCCATATATGACAAATTCACAGCTAACATCATACCGAACAGGGAAAAGTTAAAATTTTCCCCTAAGATCTGGAATAAGACAAGGATGCCCACTTTTACCAATTCTATTCTACATAGTACTGGGAGCCCCAGCCAGAGCAATTAGGCAAGAGACAAAGATAAAAGGCATCCACATTGCAAAGGAGGAAGTCAAACTATCCGGGTTATAGGTAACATAATTGTATATAGTTGACCCTTGAACAATGCTGGGGGGGGGTGTTTAGAAGTATCAACCCCTGTGCAGTAAAAAATCCACATGTAACTTTTGACTTAACTACTAATAGGCTACTGTTGACCAGAAACCTTGCCAAAAACATAATCAATTGATTAACACATATTTTGTATGTTACATGTATTATATACTGTATTCTTACAATAAAGAAAAAATGTTAAGAAAATCATAAAAAAGGGAAAATATATCTTCTATTCCTTAAGTGACAATGGACCATCATAAATGTCTTCATCCTCATTTTCTTCATGTTGAGTAGGCTGAGGAGTAGGGGGAAGAGGAAGAGGAAACATTTGTCTGCTGTCTCAGGGGGTGGAAGAAAATCCACATATAAGTGTACTGGAGCAGTTCAAACCTGAGTTGTTCAAGGGTCAACTATATATAGAAAGCGGTAAAGACTCCACCAAAAAACTGTTAGAACTAATAAAGTAGGTAAAGTTACAAGATACAAAATCAACATACAAAAATCAGTATTGTTTTTATACATTAACAGTGAACCATCTCAAAGAGAAATCAAGAAAATAATCCTATTTATGATAGCTACAAAAAAAAAAAAATAAGATACCTAGGAATAAATTTAACCAAGGAGATGAAAACTCTCTTTACTGAGAACTATAAAAGACTGATGGAAGAAATTAAAGAGGACAAAAATAAATGGAAACATATCCCATCTTTATGGATTGGAAGAATTAATATTACCCATACCACCCAAAGCAATCTACAGATTCAATGCCATCCTTATCAAAATACAAATGACATTCTTCACATAAATAGAAAAAAGAATTCTAAAATTCATATGAAACCACAAAAGACCCTGAATAGCCAAAGCAATCTTGAGCAAAATAAAAAAATAAAAACAAACAAACAAACAAAAAACGCTGGAGGCATCACACTACCTGACTTCAAAATATATTACAAAGCTATAGTAATCAAAACAGCATGGAACTAGCATAAAAACAGACAGACAGACCAATGGAACAGAATAGACATCCCAGAAAGAAAACCATGCATCTACAGCCAAATAATTTTTGAGAAAGGTCCAAAGAACACATGTTGGGGAAATGACAATCTTATATAAATGGTACTGGAAAAATTGGATATTCATATGCAGAAGAATGAAATGGAACCCCTATCTTTTACCATATACAAAAATCGACTCAAAATGGTTTAAAGACTTAAATGTAAGACCCAAAACTATGAAACTACTGGAAGAAAACATAGGGGAATCATTTTATGACATTGGACTGGGCAAGAATCTTTTGAATATGACTCCAAAAACACAGGCAACAAAAGCAAAAATAGACAAATGTGATTAAATAGAACTAAAGAACTTCTGCAGAGCAAAGAAAACAATCAACAGAGTGAAGAGACAACCTACAAAATGGGAGAAAATATTTGCAAACTATTTATCTGACAAGGGGTTAATATCCAGAATACATAAAAAATGCAAATGACTAACCCATCGATAGCAAAAACTCAAAAAATCCAATTAAAAATGGACAAAAAAACCTTAATAGGCATTTATCAAAAGACAACATAAAATGGTCAACAGGTATATGAAAAAATGAACATCACTAATCATCAGGGAAATGCAAATCAAAACCACCAAGAAATATCACTTCTCCCCAATTAGAATGGCTATTATCAAAAAGACAATAGCTGGGTATGGTGGCTCACATCTGTAATCCTAGCACTTTGGGAGGCCAAGGTGGGAGGATTGCTTGAGGCCAGCAGTTCAAGACGAACCTGAGCAAGAGTTAGACCCCATCTCTACAAAAAAATAGAAAAATTAGCTGGGCCTGATAGTGCACACCTATAGTCCCAGTTACTTGGGAGGCTAAGGTAGGAGAATTGCTTGAGCCCAGGAGTATGAGATTGCAGTGAGCTATGATGATGCAACGGCACTGTAGCCCAGGCAACAAAGTGAGACCCTGTCTCCAAAAAATATATATAAATAAATAAAATTCAAAAAAATAAAAAAAATAATTTAAAAATTTTAAAAGACAAAATGTAAATGTTGGTGGGGACATAGAAAAAAGGGAACCCTTACACACTATGAGTGGGAATATAAAATTGTTACAGCCATTATGGAAAACAGTACAGAGTTTCCTAAAAAATTAAAAATAGAACTATCAATATCATCCAGCAATCTCATTATTGGGTACATATCCAAAGGAAATGAAATCGGTTTGTCAAAGAGACATCTGCACTCCCTTGTTTATTGCTGCACTACTCATACTGGCTAAAATATGGAATCAACCTAAATGTCCACTTACTGATGAAATGATAAATAAAAGTGGCATACACACACACACACAATGGAATACTATTCAGCCATAAAATAGAATAAAATCCTGTCATTCACAGCAACATGGATGAACCTGGAGGACATTTTGTTAAGTAAAATAAGCCAGACACAGAAAGTCAAACACAGCATGATCTTTCTCATAAGTGGAATCTAAAAAAGTTGATTTTATAGAAGTAAAGAGTACTATACAGGTCACCAGAGGCTGAGGAGGTGGGAGATGGGGACTGGGAGAGAGGTTGGTCAATAGGTACAAAGTTATAGTTAGACAGGAGGATTCAGTTCTGGTGTTCTGTTAGACAGTATAGTCACAATAGGGTGACTATAACAAATAACCATGTAGTATATGTTTTAAGCTATCTAGCAGATTTTGAATATTTTCACTACAAAGACATGATAAATGTTTATTGATGGATATGGTAATTACCACAATTTGATCACTATGATACAATGTATACATGCATTGAAATGTCACCCGGTACTCCATAAATATGTATAATTATCATGTCTCAATTATTAAGTTTAAAAACACAATGAAATACCACCTTACTCTAATTAGAATAGCTATTATCAAAAAGACAAAAGATAACAAATGTTGGTGAGGAGGTCAAGTAAAGGGAACACTTACACACTGCTGGTAGACATGTAGTACAGCTGTTATGGAAAACAGCATGAAAGTTCCTCAAAAAATCAATATAATCCAGCAATTGCATAACTGGAGATACATATATGTAAAGGAAATAAAATTAGTGTGTTGAAGAGATATGGGTAATTCCACGTTTACTGAAGCACTATTTACAATAGCCAAAATATGGACTCAACCTAAGTGTCCATAAATTGATAAATAGATAAAGAAAATGTGGTATATATACACACAACAAAATATTATTTACTGACAAAGAACAAAATTCTGTCATGGCAATATGGATGAGCTTGGAGGACATTATGTTAAGTGTAATAAGTCAGGTACAGAAAGACAAAAGCAGCATGATCTCACTCATATGTGTAATGTAAAAGTTGACCTTACAAAAGTAGAGAATAGAACAATGGTTACCAGTGACTGGGGAGGAGTGCAGGAGAGGGAAATAGGGAGAAAATGGTCAATGGGTACAAAGTTACAATTAGATAAGAGAAACAAGTTTTGGTGTTCTATTGCTTAGTAGGGTGACTATAGTTAACAATAATGTACATTGCAAAATAGCAAGAAAAGGTGTTGAATGTTCTGGCTATAAAGAAATGATAAATATTTGAGGTAATGGATATGCTACTTTCTCTGATTTGATCATTATACAATGTATACATATATTGAAACATCATACTGTATCCTATAAATATGTACAAGTATGTGTCAATTAATTTTCTTAAAAAAGTAGTAATAATACAAAAATAAAACACTCAACAAACTAGGAACAGAAGAGAATGTCCTAAACACAATAAAGGACATTTGTAAAAAACCTATAGCTAACATCATACTCAATGGTTAAAGACTGAAAGCTTTTCCCCTTAGATCAGGAACAGGACAAAGATGCCTGCTTTCACTACTTATACTCAACACTGTACTGGAAGTTCTAGCCAAGGTAATTAGGCAAGAAAATAAAAGTCATCCAAATTGCAAAAGGAGAAGTAAAACTATCTCTATTTAGAAATGGCATGATCTTATATTTATAAAATACTAGAGAATCTACAAAACAAACTATTAGAGCTAATAAATATTCAGCTCTGTCTTGTACTCATTCAGCTGTCCATGAGCACTTGCAGCCTGCAGAAGCTTTGGAAAAATATAGCAAAAAATACCAGCATTCTCTTTGTTACTCTCATTTTCCCTTTGTTAGAGAAAGGGATAAAAAGAAGAAGAGGTACAGAGGAAGACTAAAGGAATGAAACAGCCTATATCTTGACTGGTTGTAGTCCTACAAATCAACTATTATTTCTTGTTTATTTTCCTAAGCAGGTAATAGTAAAGCCCCCCCCCCCCCATCAAGAAATGGGTGCTATGGGGACAGAATATCCTAGTCCATAGCCAGGCTTGTGCAGACGGTGGCAGCTATTAAAGGAGCATCAAGAAAGCTGAGGCCCTGGGGCCTGCTATAAGAAAAGAGGGGACAGTTTAGGAACTTACTGAATGTTGTAGGGCACAGTACTAGGATTGAGTACCCCATACATAGTGAAGCCTTTATAGAGAGGGTTCCTGAAGTCTGGTTTCCTCTGAACCAAGAAAGGCCACACGGAATGTGTTTTCTCATAAACTCTGTCAGAAAAGAAAAACAAGCCCCCAAATTAAAAGCAGCAAGCAAGTAATCTCAACCATCCTGTTAAACTTGATAATCAGTCAAATTTTATTAATAGGTAAACCCAACTCAAGAGAGAGGGATAGGTATGATAGAAGGAAAATAAGCTGCTAATAAATGTTGCTAGAATAACAAATTATTTGGGCTTCAATTTATACATCTTTAAAGTGAATAGGAAATTAGAAAGAGCTCCATATTGGAGAGCAGGAGATTCTTAGTCTAGTCTCTGCTGTGGAATAGCTGTGTTATCTTGGGAAAATCCCTACCTCTTTCTGGGCCTGTTTCCTCAACTGTAAATTTAGTCTCCAAGGTCTCTTCTAAATCTAGGGATACTATGAACCAAAGATCTTTCCAGTTTTAAAAATTTCAGCATTGTTTTTAATGGTCTGGTAAATTAAGAAACAGGAACCCTAGAAGGTGAATTTCTGGCTTTTTTATATTTCATTTTATTTAAAGCCAGCTTCTTTTTCCTTCAGAAGGTTTAAAACAGTGAAAGACAATTAGAAATCTATACTAGCAAATGTTCATAAGTTATCCCAGATGGGCAACTAAAGACTGTGGTTATTTATATTGCAAGACTGATTCTTATATTTTAGTTGAAACCATGGTAAGCCTGTTCAACTACCAAGGAAGCCCCTTAGTTAATACCTCAAAATGCATGGAAATCACTGGTTTCCAATGATATATGCTGTGTAAACCATGCATGGGAAGGTCATCTGCATATATCGTGTCAAAGAAAGTTTAAGAAGAACTGAAGAGGAGTGGTATGGATGGTAAGAACTAAAATTGAGGTCTTGTAACTTTCACAATCATCAAACCATTTCAGTGAGGCCAAAGGCCCTGTATATCCATCTTTCTCATCTGTTGTTGGTTACAAACAGAAAAAGAATCTTGCAGAAATAAGGTAACCAATATTTGTTGAGTATTTACTATGTGTCAAACATTGTTCCAGACTCTTTATCTAAAATACTTCCTTAAATTTTCCTAACAAAATGCTGAGGTGTTTTAACCCCAAATTACTAATGTGAATGAGACAAAAAATTAATTTGCTAAAGGTCAAATAGGTAGTAGGTGACAAAGCCAAAGTCTAAACCCAAATCTGCCTGATTCTAAAGCCCATGCTTTTCCTTTCATGAATGAATGACGCTTCTGTTTGTTTTAATTAATCACTATTTTAACATATGTTAAAATCTTCAACTTTTGTACCTTCCTGTGTAGATTCAGATTTGTGTGGGAAATGGGTCCAGATATATTAACCTGACTTCAAGATGGGGAGAAAAGATTATGGAAAAGATCTTGGGTATTAATGCCTAGGGAAGCAAGTTAGAGACAGTAATACATATAAAAAAGCATTTGGGGAGGGAGTGAGAAAGGTATTGTTGCAGAAAGAAAGAGAAATGTGCATGGAAGCTACCAAGTAAATACAAATGTTAAAGCAGGAAGACTCATCACTGCTCTGTGTGTACAGGAAAACAGGATCACAAAGAGGTGATGTCATCCAAGCTACATCATAAAGGTGCCTGAGAAGTTGGGCTAACTACTAACTCAGCCAATAGCTGTGAAACAGGCATGGGTTGTGAAATAGCTACCTTCCTATTTCTTTTTCTGTGTCTAAAATAAAGATAATACTGCTCATAGATGTTCTGTCTTGTCAACCTGAAAAAGTACTTATGTTTTATATATTGTGGGGATGTTAGTTTAAGTACTTAAATATATATTGAAGTACTTAAGTGTGTGCGTGTATATATGTATATGTATCTCTCTCTCTCTCTCTCTATATATATATATATATATATATATGTTTTATATATTGTGGGAATGTTAGTTTAAGTGCCCACAGGGGTGCAAACTCAAGTGCCTACAGGAACTGGGCAGATAACGTTAGAAGGGGGCTGAGAATAAACTACAGGGAGTGGTGAGAACTGTGGCCAACATGAGTGAATTTGCCTCATCCAAATGGAGCAGCTACTATTCAGCTCTAGTTGATTATTGTCATGAGAAAATGCAGATCCAGTGTTGCCAGACCTCTTGATTTTTCAGAATATCTTGGTATAGTGGAATCTTGGTATATGTGAAATCTCTTGATATTTAAATGTTGACAATTAATTCACAGTTCAAAAAATATTCCATAGACTAAACAAAACACAATTGGGTCAGGTATAACCTATGAACTTCCAGTTTGTGATCTCTGATATGAGTGAAAAAGGACTATAGATAATGACTACTCACACCTGCACAGCAACTGATTCTTCACAAAGCCCTTGCACATCCATTATTTTACTGGCTCCTCATGACTACTCTGAAAATGTTGCTCATATTTTATAGATGAGGAATTTGAGGTTCTGAGAGATCCCTGTGTAAATACTGAGTGCTTTATGCTTCAAAAGTTCTTTTAATTATTGTTACCTCCTTCCTTTTCCTGACTGCTGTCCAAAATTCAAGGTGGTGGGTTCATTCCTTTTGTACTAATCCCCTTCTCCCTATTTAGTATCTCCTCACAAAGTGAATTCACCTTAGATCTTCCCGATCCTTCTGACAGTTTCCAAGGAAGTTTCCAAACTGGCAGGAAAAAACATGGTCATGGATCTCCAACAGGAAGTTTTCATTAAATTCAAAGGCACAGGGAAACTGTTCCATTAATTGCCAAATACAATCTAGGAACTGGGTAAAGATAGGGGACACTTCTTTTGAGTCTCCATCCAGGTGGCCACACCTAAGAGATGCAAAAAAAGGTAAAGAAAGACAATCGTTAGTGTCAGGGATTATACTGTTTGGAGTAGGCTATAACAAGGTCACCTTTTGTCTCTGTTGGCAGTGGCAAGGAAACACCTCATGGTAAAATGCCAGCCAGAATCTCAAATCTAGTTAATCCCAGCAAACCTCTTAGCCACTGGTACCCTTCACTGTCATCCAGACTGTAAACCCTTTGGTCATCTAGTCTATTCTCTCTTACATCCTCTTTCCAATAGAACTTTCTGCAATGATGTAAATTCTATAGTTGTGCTATCCAATACAAAGTCACTAACTATTAAGCACTTGAAATATGGCTAGTGTAGCTGAGGAACTCAATTTTTAATTGTATTTATTTTTAATTAATTTAAACAGCCACATTTAGCTCTATGTGAGCAAGGACCACATCTATGTTGTTTCCTGCACAGTGCCTGGCACAGAATAGGTATTTAAGAAACAATTATTAAATGCATGAATTAAACCTCATCCCAGAACTGTTTATGTTTCCTCCCCCATAATTCTCTCTTTACCAACCCTACCATGCACTGGAAATGCTATTCCACTGGAAACAACACAGGATCCTTGGCTTCTATGCTGAACATTTTCTACCTTCTGATATAACTATGACCTGGCTCACAAGGATACCACCTCTCCTTGGGGCCCAAATCAAATGGAGAACACTAATCATGTCACTTTCCATATACCATAACCCTAAAACAGGGCAGAGGTGGGTTCCACTTTCTCCTTGGTCTTACTGCTGCTTCTAAACTACTACCCCTTTCATTCTCTTAAAAACACTCCATTATAGGTCATGCTGTTTAGCTTATTTACCTTCCCTTTCCTCAATTCTGTCCTTTACCAATCTCTGGGTCACTTCCCCACATTCTCTGAAGAATCTGACTCCTGTCTTAAGTACTTACCTTTTGTGTTGATGTAGATGACCTACACTAGCTTAATAGGTTCCTTAACTAGCCCAAATCCAATATCTTCACTGATCTTTACCTCTACTCCAGTCTCCAGAATCTATGGCCATAGGCTGGTTCTTGAAATCACTCGAGTTCTTACTCCACCTTTGAAATCTCAATCCCAATATCCCCCTCTGAACACCATATATTATATGTCCAAAGGCTGCTCATCTTCTTACCTTCTCCAGCTCTCATGTCAGGACCTCTCTACATGATTGCTACAGGCTTCCCTTTCTTCCTTAACCAGCCTAGACTTCATTTTCTGTCCCATCAACTATTCTCTCCCCACTGTCTTCAACTTTCTGGCCTTTTTTGTAATTATTCTCCTTCAAAATCCAACTGCAGATCAGCCTAAAAAGTTATGTTCTCTGCTTCTACATCCTGACTGATGAATAATGCTTGCAAAAATTATAAAACTATATAAATTCATGCCTGTTAAAATTAAGTCACCACACTGAGCTGGGACTTAATTGCTCCCAAATAATCTTTATATATGCCCTTAAAACTGTGTGTCCATTATTCTTATAGCTATTGCAAAGTTTAAACTATCTTCTCAAACTCCTAACCCATTTCATATCTTCTTTCATACCAGATTGTACATTGTCACTGAAAAGATCAAGGCTATCCAGTAAAAAAAATATTTAACTTCTGCCTCTGACACTCATACACTTCCTTCTGTCTTTCCATCCAGTATCTATGAAAGAGGTGTTCTGTTTTTTTGTGTATTTTGTGATAATCTTTATTTATATAGAATTATAAATTACAAACTATTATTTTGCTCAGTCATTTTAACCACCATGTGAGGCAGACATACTAGAGGATATTAGCTCCATTTCACAGGCAAGAATGGAAACACTGTTCCCATATTTAGTATAAGACAGCTGGGACTTAAGCCCTGGGCTTCCATACTCACAATTGCTTTTTTCCCATGACTTTGTGATACATCATTTTAAAGCAATCTGATTTCATAATGCTTTAAAATATAAGAGTAACATCTATAACATCTATTGCTGGCAGGTTTACTCTGGAGCCAACCAACCTAATTAATTACCTCATAACCTGGCACATTATAAGGTACTGTTATACCTCTAACTCAATCTCACAGCTATGTTTGAGGGCTCCGTGAGCCAAAATTGCAGCAAAGCTGACCTGAAAGGACCAGGAACACAATGGTCAAGCCTATTTCCTAATTTAACCTAGGCCTGGCACATCCTCACCCATTGCTCAGATGGCAAGCTGAGACAACCAAGTGAAGGCCTGATTGGAAGTGGATGCTGATGAAAAAACACAAGCAGTATCAGATTGACTTCTTTAACATTAACAAATCCTCAGAAAGCCTACTGCTGGTCTACTACATTACCAGCAGGTCGAAGGATAATACTTCTGGAGTCTACAATATGCAAGAAAGAGGTCAATTAAGCTGCCTGCCAGGTGCCTAAAAAGCCAAATAGCGCTAAGTTCATCTATGCCAAACCAAGAAAATGGTGCATTGCTTCCTGATCTTGGTTTCAAGGAGACAGATGATCATCCGAGAAACCAGGAAAGTCCATCCTGAACCCCAGGGGTAGGGGGTGGGCATTTCCCAGACTTGACGGCGCAGAGGCAACACAATCTGCCACTGTGAAGGGGAAACACTATCTTGGTCAGCTTTGGTCTTCCACAAGACAATGGAACCAGGGACTAGCAAGATCGGGGCTTGGGCGATCAATCCTGGGAAAAGCAGGACTTCCTCACATGAGGCGCAAAGGTCCATGGGGAGAAGGGTCTATGAACACCCTAAAATTGTAAGCACAATTGTGAGTATATGCATGTACCTGGCAAAGTGGTCCTTTGTTCTCAAATCCTCAACTTGAGAAAGGGACTAAACCAGTTGCAGGCTAGGATCCAAAAGCCACCAGATACACTTAGAGCCAGCCAAGTCTGAGAGCTCTCAAAGCCATCACTGAGAACTTGGAACATGGATCCAAAGAGACAACTGAGCATTTGTTTTCTGCATTCTCCTTGCTAATGGTATTTCAAGTCTTTTTAAAACAAAGCCATGGGAATACCCAGATTCAAGTATGCACTTGGGCTTGGACCACGTTGCAGGAGTCTTAGGCATCCTTAGGCAGGAGTACACATGCTTGAGTCATTCATTCACCAACGCTTAACCTCAGGATAGAAGATCTGACAAAGCAGGACTCCTTTCTCCATGGCACATGCTGATTTCAGAGGTGGAAGCAGTCAAAGTGGAAAACCCTGGGATTTTTCCTTGGAACTGGACTGTGATGAGAGGTTCCTGCCATGAGCATAACCTACTGTCTTTTCCTTGACCCATTCCTTCCAGTTTTTCAACATAGAGCAGAAAATAATCTTCTCTTGAAGATATTTGATAATAATTCCCAAACCCAAAATACCTGTTCCCAATGCACTATGCTTTCAGACATTCTGGGTCTAGTTCAGCTGGAGAATGAGCTGATTGATGTGTTCACCCCAATAGCTAGGTGAGCCCATCTTCTTGAGGAAGCCCACTTTATTCTTGGTAGCAAGATGGGCCACTGAGAGTTGGAAAGGATGCAAGAACCATGAGATCTCCTGGAAAAACTTCCCTGGGAAGGCAATTTCATGAATGAAGTCTTCCAAGCAAATGACACCAAACTTCTCCAGGTGCTCTTCCATCACTGTGTTATCTGTCAGAGGGATGGTCTTATTCTTGACCTTGGCTTGTCCACATTTCAAGATGAGTTCCCGGACAGACCAGATTTGAAAATCCTCAGGTCACATAAGGTTCTATACATGCAACAATTTTAGGCTCTGGGGAGGGGGGTGTGACTCTGACAAAGACACCACTGAACATTTTCTTTAGGCGAAGTCTTGAGATGGTCTTTTGCACCAGCGAACTCACCCCATTAATCCTTTGGATGCGTACAACAAAGGCCAAGGAATGTTTATCTGGCAATTCCAAGGCACAAGGTTTCACTTCTAGTCATCTGAGACGCACCCTTTCGCGTTGCTACCGCCAGGAATCACGTAGGAATGATTCTGGTTGCTTAAACCTGGGCCCTTTTCCTTTCCTTTGCTCCTTCTTTGCCAAAAGTGCCTGCTTTGCCTGGGTGGCTTTGAGGGCTTGGTAAGCCTTCCTCTTTTTCAGTAGATTTTCTGGAGCCAAAGAGATTTTTTGTTTTCTTTCCTCTTGCCCCGCCATCTTTCTAGTTGAGGTGTTCTAATTTATAGCTTAAGCTAATCTTTTCAGTTGAATTGGAGCTTTTACCCTCTTCGGTCTGTTCATAAGACTTACTCTACCAAAAACTGTCTCTTTCATATCTTCAACCTTATCTCATTTAATATTTCTTCTCAGCACAAGAAATTGCTTGAATCTCTCCTGTCTTGAAATACTCTTCTTCAAATCCATAACCCTATCTGGGTATCACCCTTCTCTTCTATCCCATTTGGATCCAAGATGCTTAGAAAGAGATTTATATACTTATATTCTTCCATTCATCTCTTGGCTCATGCCTCCATTCACTGCTATTTGGCTTTAGCATCCACTAGTTTACTCAACTGGTTATCATTAATTATCATTAAAATCTGCATATTGCCAAAGTTGATTATTGGGTTATTCTGAGGCATATAACACTGTTGACTACTCACTTGAGATTCTCATCTCTTATTTTTTCCTTTTCCTATCCTTAGATATATTATTGTCTCACTAACCACTCTTTGACAGCCACCTTCACAGACTCCTTTCTTCACTAGACTTTTCAGGTGTCAGTATTATCCAAGGCTCTGTCCTACCCCTTGGCTCTTCTTTCTCTACATATGATTTTTTGGGTTACCTTATCCGAATCCATGGATTAAACTACTACTTATATGCAGATAACTCTCAATCCTGTAGACCTCTCTGTCCAATCCAGAAGTGGTGAGCTCCAGATTTGTACTGAATAGTCTCCCTACTGGACATCTCCTCTTGGATGCCTCATGCCAAATAAGTCCCAAACTGAAACTATCTTTCCCCACTCAAAATGCCCTATATTATTTAGTACTCTCTACCTCAGTAAACCCAACTACCTAAGGCAGAAACTTACAAATTCTTCTAGACTTTCTCTCTCATCTCCTGGTTCTGTCAGTCCTACATCCTGAACACCCTTGTATCTCTCCCATTACTTCTATCTCTTTAAGCCTTCATCAATTCTGATAGCCTTCTAATTCATCCCCTTGCCTTCAATTTCAATCTTCTACACTGCTGCAAGAGAGATATTTCTAAAATATATATTTGATCATATCATTGCCCTGTTCAAAGTCATCTTCCTTAATGCTTTTATGGTTTTACACACATTAGTCCTAAAATGCTTTCCCCCTTTCTAAATAACTTCTACTCATACTTTAAAGCTCAATTAAAATGTCACCTATTCCAGGAAGCCTTCTTTGCCCTGAAATGGATAAGATTCCTTTATTTATGTTTTCCTTTGTCTTAACACTTATCATACTATATTGTCATTACTGATTTCATTTTCTTTAAAAGAAGGGACAGGGACCATATATGATTCAACTTAGTCTTCTCAATATTGACATAATGAGTGGCCCAATCTTTGTTAATGAAGGAAGAATAAATGGAAGGATCCAAATGGCTAGAGAGGAGAGGCAATCAAATGAAATTAAATGGATACACATCAATGAGGGTGAATAAGACCAGAATTATAATATCACTAAGGGTAGAATTCATATTTTATTTGTCTTTGGAACCACCTTAGTGTCTGATATAGTGTACAACACATTGTTAGGTGGTAAATATTTATTGATTGTTCTGGTAAACATAGGTAAAGCAGTAGTGAGGCTGGTTTATAGCAGACAATAGATACATGTAAGCCCTTGCCCCTACCCATTAGTAAAAAACATAAATCTGCACGTGTTTCTGAAAAAAAAATGACAAGGGGTTGTGTGAAAAAAAATGCACCTGTCTTTTTTTCTTAAAAAAGGTTAAAAGGTACACTGTCTGAAATATCTCTCTACCTAAATGCCCTCCTCATCTTCCTGTTCTGCCTATAAAACTCCTATTTATCTCTAAAAATTCATACTTAAATGCCACCTACTCCTGGAAGCCAACCTTGATCTCTTTATGCAGAGTTAGGAACTTTTCCCTATGTGGCCTGTGATGCCTTGTTCTTCCCTCAAATATTTAACAATTTGATATGATTGCTTACACTCCTTGAAGGCAAAAATGATATTCTGCTTACCTCTGTAGCCTCAGTGTCCTAGCATAGTGTCTGGAATATTTGTTTCTTGATGAAAAGAGATGTCGTGTTCAACTTACTATTCCCTCCTATATAAGAGCATACTGGAGTTTTGATAAAACTCACCCTAATGAACTTTTCTCCTTCAAAATAAGGATATTTTTACCTTTGGGAAAACTTGTGGCCCATGGATATCCATTCCTTCTCTATCAGGATCTTCATTTTATACAAAAAGAAGAGTTTACATTAGGAAAATCATAAATTAATGATACACATGAGAATATCAAAACACTTAGTTGAAATGGCTGAACTGATCATAAAATAAAGTTATTTTGCCAAATGATAACTAAGTAAGTAATTGGATTTCATTTACAGGTCTATACAGGTTGCCTTCAAATTTCAGATGCTCTCGGGAGAAATTATTCTGGGTTTGTATCCAGTGTCACATTTCTTTTGGTGTGACAAGCCATGGAGCCATAACTAAACGCAAACCAGATAAGTATATTAAATTCAACCTTTGAAAAACAGGAACCTAAAGGTAGAATTTGGGTTTGTACCAATAACAAAACTATTTTTAATTATTAAAAAAATTTCCAAACAAATGAGGATAAATCACTATTGTGAGTTCTGTTTTTTAAGAAGATCAACTAAGAAGCCTTGGATTCAGTGCAAAAATACAATAATGAGTCTGGCATTCAAACAGCTGACATTTTAAAGATGATGTGCCTATCAGAAAACCTATTTATTAATAAAAGTCAGCCATTCAGCTTTGCAAACTTTTTGAGCATTTCCCATTACTTACAGCAGCCTCTTACATATAACTTATCCTCTGATAGGTAAGAAATATGCTGAATGTACAACAGAAAGTACATAAAATGTACACACTTCATTTAATGGAATGAAGCTAAATTGAAAAACAGCTATTTTTGTAGATTTAGAGCTCGTTTTTGTAAAACCCAAGTTAGTTGAGAGTTCTTTGTGATTTTTTTTACAATCTGTCATTCATGCAAAATAAAATACAATCACTCGCTGTCTTACCATGAGTCCTTTGAATGTCCTATAAAATGGATCTAAGAGGATGCTGGCCACTGAGCAGACTTGTGCTGTGCGGTCCCACCCATCGGAACAATGAACTAAGACACTGGCCTTTTCTACCTTCACTGCCTGTGAAGACAAGAGGCAAAAAGTACCATAAGCAATCTTTGCACAGCCTGCTGTGTTAATAAAGAATTGTCAAATACTATCCCTATGGTACAGAGAAGGTCTTACTGGGCTTCTCACAATATCAGCATCCTCTATGGGCAATTAAAAAGAAAATAATGGAAGCCCAAAAGGTAGAAAGAACGTGAGCAGGATGTAGTTAAAGTTAGGACTACAAAAATGTTCAAAGAGAAAGGGGTCAATAGTGCCAAATGCAGCGGAGAGGTTAAAATAAAGATTAAAAAGTGATCCTTAGATTTGGCACGTCAAGGTCATTAGTAACCTTAGCAAGAGCAATACTAATGGTATGGAAATCCGATCCCAGTGTGCTGAAGGGTGAAGGGAGATGAGGAAGTGCTAACAGGAAAGGCCAACTACTTGTAAAAATGTTCTAACCAAGAAGGGGGCAATAGCTAGAAGAGGGTCAGAAATGTTCTATTTCTCTAGGAATGAGAAAATATCTGAGTATACTTTTGAGGCAAGAAGCCAGTCAAAAGGAGTATGTTGAAAATGTAGGAGAAAGAGAACTTGACAGAGCTAATTTCTTGACGAAGTAGGAGGGGATAGGATTTAGAGTATAGGTAGAGGGAATAGCCTTATATAGGAGACATGGGAATATCATGTCCTCTGAGATAGCAAGAAAGAAAACATGAAAAAAGTTGGTAAGAATAATAATGGGAAGATGAAGGATCACCTTGATTTTTCCATGAAGAAGGAGACATGTCTTGAATACGTGTTTATAGAGAGGGAAGGTAATGGGGGTGTAGTTGGCTTGAAAACAAGGTAAAGATTAGGAATACCTCCTCTACGTAGCTAAGTTCTATTGTTTTAGGACTTCAGCTAAGATTATAGACCATAAACCTATGATAGTACCAATTAACATGTCTATGGGATTTATTTCTTTGCAGCAATACTTAGCAGTTGGGGCGTAAGAACAGAGAATGACTGTGGCTGGTAGGACAGGTAGAGTGGAAGGATAAAGGGCAAGGTAGAATGGATGAGGTGCTACACCACCAGGTCTTGGTAAATAGGGAAGAAGGTGGAAGAAGTCTGGACAAAGAGGAGCTTAAAGTATAGGTGTCTCCATGATATAGAAGAAATATGCTAACTGGAATAAGGGTGTGAAAGCTGGAGTATAAAAGCTCAAAGAACCATAAGTGCAAAATGTTTGATATATTATACATGGTCATTCAATTCTCCAGGAAAGAGGGAAGAATCAGGATGGAGAGGAAGGTGGCGAGGCCATTGCCAAAGTCCTTAATGGAGGAGGGAGGGTAACTAGGAGGGGTACGGGGTAGTATGGCTAAATGAAATAGACCTTGGAAGGGCAGCCGCCCCCTCGCCCGTCATGCAATGCACGTTCATGGGGAACCTGGCACTAAGCCATTCGTAGACGATCTGCTTCTGGGTTGGTGTTTTGTGCGTAGCAGAGCAGCTCCCTCGCTGCGATCTATTGAAAGTCAGCCCTCGACACAAGGGTTTGTAAAATAAACAAACAAACAAAAAGAATGAAAAATTAAAAAGATAAAAAAAAGAAAAGAAATAGACCTGAAAGGAAGAAGGAGTTTTGTAAGGAGCAAGGAGAATACTGAATCTGTCCTGGATCCTATAGTTCATGGCATGTGGGACAATGAGTAATCTTTGTAGTGGAGTGCAAAAAAAAAAATGGTATTCCTAGAAGGGTAGTTAGATTGTAGGTAAGAAAAGAGTTAAAGAGATCTGGAAAAAAAAATCAAAACTAATTTTTTAAATTTCTCAGTTAAGTAGACACCTTAGGTAGTATCAGAGGCCTGACAACACCAACCATGCTCTTTGTTTAGGGCCCCAAATGGAGTGAAACGTCACTGGTAGACAGGAAAAGATGCTTAATTTCACGAATCATTAAAGAAATACAAATTAAGGCCGGGCGCGGTGGCTCACGCCTGTAATCCTAGCTCTCTGGGAGGCCGAGGCGGGCGGATTGCTCGAGGTTGGGAGTTCGAAACCAGCCTGAGCAAGAGCGAGACCTCGTCTCTACTATAAATAGAAAGAAACTAATTGGCCAACTAATATATATAGAAAAAATTAGCCGGGCATGGTGGCACATGCCTGTAGTCCCAGCTACTTGGGAGGCTGAGACAGAAGGATCGCTTGAGCCCAGGAGTTTGAGGTTGCTGTGAGCTAGGCTGACGCCACGGCACTCACTCTAGCCTAGGCAACAAAGCAAGACTCTGTCTCAAAAAAAAAAATAAATAAATAAAAAGAAATACAAATTAAAACACGATACATAATTTATCACCTATCTCATTGGCAAAGATTAAAAAGACTGATGACAACTATTACTGGCAATGTGGAAAAATAGGCACTGCTGGTGGGAATGGAACAGGTACTACCTATTTGGAGGGCAATTTGACCATATCTATTAATATTTGAAATATTCATACTCTTTGACTCAGAAAATCCCCTTCTGTAAAGATATATGTTTAAGGGTAGTTAGTGTAGCAATGTTTGTCTTAGTGAAAAACTGGGAACAACTACGTTCCCCATCAACAGGGGACTGTGGTAAATTTCCACAATGGAATCATATATAGTTGCTGAAAAGAATGAAGTAGTATTAGCTGAACTGATCTGAAAAATAAATGCTCATTATGCACTAAGTATAAAAAGTAATTTGCAAAACAGTATGCACAGTATGATCCAATTTTTACAAGTAATAATATGTGAGTGTATATGTTGAAAAACTCTACAGCTTCACTATAAAATATGGTAGTCACTAGACATCTGTGACTCTTTAAATTTGAATTAGTTAAAACTAAATAAAATTATAAATTCAGTGCCTCAGTCTTACTGGCCACATTTTAAGAGCTCAATTGTCACATGGGGCTAGTGGCTATTATATTAAGCAGTAAAGCTACAGACCATTTCTATCATCACAGAAAGCTCAAATGGACAACGCTGATCAAGAAGCACAATTCACTATTGAAAGGGCATGGAAACTACCCAAGTGCCTGTCAATTCATGAGTGGGTAACTAAAATGTGGTATATGCTCAAAATGGAATATTACTTAATCCTAAGAAAAGACAGTGAGCTAGCACCGTTTATGCTATCCTGGATTAAGCTTAAGCCCGTAATACAAAGCGAGACGAAACAAGATCTGTAAAATGGGCTACACATCTACTCGCCATCAAATTGGTACTGACTGACAAACTATGGTGCTCAAAAAACAGTAGTGTTCAACAGGGATTGGGGGGGGGGACCCACATCTTAAGGAAGTGGCGAGCATTGTGGGGGGAAGGGATTACCTCTATCCCTTTTTAGGGAGAGGTAAAGATATACATTGTAACCAAAATGTCTGAAAAAAAATCTGTAATCAGGAAGTGGGCAGGTGGAAGGGGGGGAGGAGGGGAAGGGTATGTACTCACACAGTGGGTTTGGTGCGCACCACCTGGAGGCTGGACACGCTAGAAGCTCTGGCATAGTGGGGTGGGGGGGGCAGGGGCAAGATATGTAACCCTAACAATATCTGTACCCCCATAATATGAAGTAATAAAAAAAAAGGAAAAATAAAAAAAAAGAAACACAAACAGTAAACTATTAATAGTGATGTGTGCATGTTCTGGGGGAAACTATGGGAAATATTTATGTTTTATGTTATATATTTTTGAAATGTTTAATTCATGGATAATGTACATGTATTGCTTTTGTAATGAGAAAAATAAGTAAATAACGTAAAGATTTAAAAAAGAAGGTGAGAGAGAAAAAGAAGTAGCATAGCAAGTTAGAGAATTACAAGAAGTCTACTCCAGCCAAGCTGGGACAAGATTATGAAAGACTCTGAATGTTAAGCTACAGGAACTTACAGATAATGGAATAGGGAATGATTGGAGAATTTTAAGCTTTAAGAGACATGATCAGATGCATTCAAGAAAGATGACTTTAGTGGCAATTTGGTCACCGAACTGGGTAGCGACAACTATAGACAAGCAGTTAGGAGGTCATTATAGTACCTTGACAATGGATGGCAACTATAATAACTAGAGAAGTAGCAGTAGAGACTGGAAAGAAAGGACAGATTTGAGAAACACTTTTGAAATAGAACTGATAGGAGCTGGCAACTGCCAGATGGAGGGGAAGAGGGAGAATTCAAGGCTAACTAAAGCTCTCAACCTTGGGATACTGAAGAGGTGGTGATGGAGATAAGGAACACAGAGTCATTGTGTGATCCAAGCCTTTCTTTTTGGTCTACTCATTTACGTTCAACTAATATTTATGATGTTGTACTGTCAATCAATTTTCTCCATCCTCACTCTCTTTGGTCTAATAAATTTGGTTTCAAAAAGTGAATATAGATTATTGGTATATATGAAAAAGGAACAGTATGAAAAATGGTTAGAATAGAGGGCTTGAAACAACTGACAGTGTCATACAGTGAACATTAATAACATATTACAATGAAAAGTGAAGCAACAGGCTGAGGAAAGGAAAAAGCATTAGGGCCAGATATTTAAGTCAGTTAATCACATACTCTCTTCAAACCTTTTAAGCCAGAGGCTATATATGTATATTATTGTCTTCAACTGAGAAAAGGACAGTAGAAGGGTAAAAACCCTTTTTTCCTTTGCTTCCATCAAATAATGGGTATGGAGTGAAGAGGGAGAGTTCTCATGTAGGAATATATAAAATCAAAACTTCAGAATCAGAAAATGTATACTCTGAATTTCGGTTTTTTTTTTTTTTTTTTTTTGACAAAATCACTTAACAAAGGATACAGAGGCCAGGTTTCTGGAGGTCATAAAATAAGTAAGTCAGCATAAATACAGGGTGACAAAGTCTGCCTAGACTGTATTTGGAGGCAAACTTATACAAAGAAGTCTCAAAAAAAGGTTTGCTTTGTACTCAGAGCTCTGACAACTCATAGATAGACAAGCTTCTTACAATCAACATAAAAATACATCAGAAGGCCGGGCGCTGTGGCTCACGCCTGTAATCCTAGCTCTTGGGAGGCCGAGGCGGGCGGATTGCTCAAGGTCAGGAGTTCAAAACCAGCCTGAGCAAGAGCGAGACCCCGTCTCTACTATAAATAGAAAGAAATTAATTGGCCAACTGATATATATATAAAAAATTAGCCAGGCATGGTGGCGCATGCCTGTAGTCCCAGCTACCCGGGAGGCTGAGGCAGAAGGATCACTCGAGCCCAGGAGTTTGAGGTTGCTGTGAGCTAGGCTGACGCCACGGCACTCACTCTAGCCTGGGCAACAAAGCGAGACTCTGTCTCAAAAAAAAAAAAAATACATCAGAGAGTAAGTGAGCTCAAAGGACCATTATAGATCACCTGAGAGTTTTTAACCTGAGGTCCAGGAGTCTGTGGACCCCCTGAAATCAAGGCCCATTTTCTATATGTATATACATATGTGTATTTTTCCAGGAGGGAGAGGGTTAATCATATTCCCAAAGAGTTGTGTGGGGACCCCCAAAGTTATATCATTAGACTCTAGTCCAACCACCTTGTTTTGAAGATGGAGAAACTGAGGCCCAGAAAGGGAAAGAGACTTGCTCAGGAGCACACAGTGAATTAGTGGCAGGGCTGAAAACAGAAACTAGGTTTCTTTTCAGTATTCATTCCACCATGGCACACTACTACCTCAACAGATCCCATAATTAACATCAGTGCAATTCTTAAACAGTCTTGATTATTACCTTTGTAATGAAAATTCCAGCATCCATAATAGCTTTAATGTGTCTCAACCACCCTGAGCTCTCCAGGCCGCTAAGAAATTCACTCATTGTTGGAGTTTTCAATTCACAAACTAAGGTAGAAAAGGAAGCAGAGATTGAAATTCACAATCACCTCAGTTTATTCATCAAGAAAGGGGAGAAGGTAGAGCCTCGTTTTGTAAATGAGGAAGCTGAGGCACAGAAAGGTTAAATATTTAGTTGGAAACCACACAGTGAGTCAGGGACAGAACTAGGGCTAAAGGCTGCCAGATCTCCCAGCATGGGCCTCTGCTTTCTTGAGTTAGAACCCACCTCCAAGCCCTCAGAAATCTCTCAAGAAAAGAGCCAGAAGATGAAATCGGCATCTATAGGAAAATACTCACATCTACTCTGATTAGAAAACACGTTTGATCCCCATCCTAATCCCACCCACCCATCCCCATCCTAACTCTGCAGGCCCTTAACATCTGTCTGTACTCTCATACCCCCATCAACTCCCTGCAGCCCTATGCTGTCTCAACAGACTGAATGAATAAATAAATAAATAACCAACCAGTTAATTTTCATGTACTTTTCACTGGGTATCGAGCAGAGGGCAATGTTTTGCCTTAAAAATCTGGAAAACAAAATCCTCTTCTATAAAATACTTTGGGGCAAAAAAGAAAGGAGGAAGAGACCTAAGGAAGAGGGACATTAATATCCTAAAATGAGCACAGACTGAAGAGACAGAATCTGATAAGGGAAAGGTCTTGGCAGACTACAGCAGTACAAAATTGAAGAAAAGGGAAAAAGAACAGGGAGTTCAATAAAGGGAAGTTTCCACTATCTCTACCTGAGTTGGCATATCACATCATGAAATCCTGCGGAATGGTTTTAGGAGAAATGTTCTAAACCCAAGAGTCTTGTAAGGCCTCAATCCCACCCTGCTCCCATTTTTATCCAATTATTTTACAACGGCGATGGATGACCAAATTGTCTGATAGCAGCTTTATTCATTTGAGGTCTAAATTCACCTTCTTCATCGGCACAGTGAAGAAATTAGACTGACTCCGACAGCAAATTAAATGAGGTGATTTCTTACCTTAAGGATAATTAAATGAATCCCAAATCCATTAATATTTATGTTGGCCTGTGCCACTCCTGAACATTAACCTCTGTAATTCTATAGAGTACAATGATTTCCATACCAACTAGACCCAGATGGACTTTATCGAGTTATGAAACTGAACATCTTAGTCCCTCTGCCAGACCAACATTGCTATAATTCAGTACTATGTAAACTAGATTCATACTATGATTACATACCTTATCACTTGTTGACTCTGCCTACCTGCTTGCTTTTATGTTACACCCCAAATCAGACATGCTTTTTGCTTACATAATAATGCAAAGTTATGGCCTCTGGCCTAGCCAAAGGGAAATCCTTGTACCTTCCAGGAGTTTCTGCAGGCTGCTCCGCATCACATGGATGTTCTCAATGCCCATAAACCTGAAGCGAATGTTGGCATAGTTGTCTTCATTTTCATACCCCTTCCCAGCTGCACGGTTGGCCATGGCATTCAACTGCAATAGTGAAGGACACAACAGGGCACATAGGCAAGATGATGAAAGAACAGGGTTCATCAATTTCAATGCCTCATTCTGAACAGTTTTAAATCCTACCTAATTAAAAAGAAGTTAAATCAGATAGGATACATTCTGGAATGGAGAGAATTTCACTGGTTTTTATGTCATGTACCTTAAGGAACAGACTCATATAGAGAAAGAGAAGGAGATCTAGTGTTTTTGTTTTATTACTAAAACCCCGTTTAAGAGATAAAGGATATGGCAGCTATAAGGATATCTGGTCTGAAGAACTGAAATTATAATTTTGAGCAGCCTATCACAAACAAATGTTTTCTCAGCTGAAAGGGCTTTATCCTGAGAAACATGGAGAAGTTCAAAAATCTTTCTGACTAAGAAGCTCTACAAAGAAGTCTAAGAACTTTAGGGCCAATTAGTTTTAAATACCTATTCGAGAAAAATGTCTAAAATATTAGGCATCTACCCAAATGAGCATAAGACATCCTATAATAAAGACATCTGCACCCAAATGTTTATGGCAGCACAATTCACTATTGCAAGGACATGGAAACAACCCAAGTGTCCGTCAATTCATGAGTGGATTATTAAAATATGGTATATGTTCACAACGGAATATTACTCAATTCTAAGAAACGACAGCGAGCTAGCACAGCTTATACTATCCTGTATTAAGCTTAAGCCCATTATCCAAAGTGAGGCGACACAAGATCAGGAAAATGGACTCCACATGTACTCACCATCAAATTGGCACTGACTGATTAACACTATGGTGCTCAAAGGGTGGTGGTGTTCACCAGGGATTCGGGGGTTGGGGGGGGTAGACCCACATCTGAGGGATGTGGTGAGGATTGTGGAGGGGAAGGGCATACCTCTAACCCTTCCTAGGGAGAGGCAAAGATATAAAATGTAACCAAAATGTCAAAAAAAACCCAAAACATTTAATCGGGTGTCAGGCAGGTGGGAGGGGGAAGGAGGGGATCAGTGTACACTTACATAGTGAGTGAGATGCACACCACCTGGAGGATGGACACGCTTGAAGCTCTGACTTGAAGGGGGAGGGGTGACAAGGACAATATATATAACCTTAACAACATTTGTACCCCCATAATATGATGAAATAAAAAAAATAAAAAATAAAAAAAATAAAATATACCTGTGTGAGATAAATGACTTTTACTCACTGATAAAATCGAAATGGAGATACCAATAGCTATTTTAACATTATGTTTTACCTAGTGGTAATGAGAAAATCTCTAGGTCATATGAAGAATGCTGGGCAGGGTAGGGAATAAATGAGATTAGCAGAGAGCATATATTGATATAATAACTAGAAGGCAGCCAATATACCTTCTATGATGATGACTATTTTACTAATTAAGTATTTTTCTGTTGTTTGTGCCTATTCTCTCATCTCTAAATATTGTGCATTTCAGAAGACAAGAGGAGCATATATGTGGACAGGTGTAGTTTTTGTATTAAAATAATGTAAAAACCTCAAAGCACAAACTATTCAAGTTAGGATATGCAGAGAGGAAAAAAAAGTCAATGTGCTCCATATATTCTGTTTAGAATGCAAGACATTTGTTAAAGGGAAGACATTTGTTAAAGGGAGAAATGTGATGACAATTTTGATATTTTATCACACTGATGGTATCACTGAGCTTTCCTTAAATTAATAACAAATATCAAAGGAACATCTTTCGAAATGAAAGGAACAGCCACTTAATAACAAGGAAGTTTGCTATGAGCAATGCTTTCACAAGCAAAACAATTACAGTAGTCCCTACTCAGGTCTGGGTAAGCCAGCTAATGTAGACAGGTAGCTATTAATACACTGTACCAGTATATACTATTTGGAAATATGTCTGGCAGAACTCAGGAACACCTGCATATTTAATGTTCAGATGGAAAAGGGATGTAATATATATTGAGCTCCTAGTATATGCCTCACAGTGTGCTAGAAGTTACATACATTATCTGATTTTATCCTCACTACAGCCCCTGTAATTGTACTATTATTATCCTCATAAGAAAACAGGCTCGGAGGGGTGATCCAATTTGTTCAGGATCATATGAATAAGGGCTGAAGGCAGGATTTCATCCAAAGTTTGTCTGACTCCTAAGAACAAAATTGTGTCAGTACTATATAGTTTCTACTAAAAATACAGATCTAGCCACCCAGGTTCTGCCAGATATTTCTAGGCCTGTCTTAATTTGCTTGAATTGGAGAGGAAAATAGAGACCTGTTGAAAGGGGCTTTCTGCTGTTGGATTTGAACAAAAGGCATCAACCCTTTAGTTTTTCAAAAGCTTGGTATGTATCTCTTTACCATTTTAAGATTATTTAATCTTGATGAAAGATTCAGAATTGATTAAACTCTTTCAAATCTCAGAATGTCAGATTCAGTTATGGTTTAAGCAAGACAGCAAGTTTCTGAGAAACATCTTGAGCTCAGTCAGTTTTACATATATCCAATTGCTCAACTCTGAAGTCACAACCACCTGGCTTAGGCTTAGCTCTAAATCACTGACTTAGTGATTACCAGTTAGCAATGAAACCTCCTAGTCAGTCACATTCCACACATCAAATTATGATCAAAATTATTTCTTTCTGGGGCTGCTTGTAAAAAGGATAATCTTTTAGAAAAAAGGAATCTGTCCTTTATTTGCTTTGTGGGGTACAATGAATTCTTCTACAATCCCTTACAGAGCTAGACAAAAAGTTGAAGGTCAAGGGATTAATGCAGAAAGTAGTGTAGGCTAATACTTATGTTGATTTGAGGTCTCTCTATTCAGTGACATTTGCATTTGAAAGGGACAAAGCCTAAGAAAACACATTCAGACAAATCATATAGCATCAGCCTCTTGGAAAGATCAAAGGATTTCACTAGGTCCCTGTCCACTGCCAAAATCCATGGCAAATTTATGTTCCTGGTCTTTTCCTATTCTCTGGGACCAAGATTTAAACTGCACTTCACTGAACTGGGAAAAATTTAATCAGCTAATAGTGCTAGGTGCTAAAAAAATTATTGTCACATGAGCCAAAGATTTTTTGTTAATCATACAGCAGTCAGATTTGTGAACCCCGCTCCTTTGGGAGACACCAAAGTATTATTAACCAACTGGGGCTTAATACATTATTTACAAAAAGATATGTTGGTAGGAATAAGTCTCTAGTGTCTAACTTGAAGTTCTTTCTCTGATAGTAAATCCAGATAACAGAATGGAGATATTGAAGATTCTGGCTGAGGAACAGACTTAGTGGAAAAGATGAGGGGATGTCAATAAGCCTTCAACTAAGGGTGTCACATTCATATGTCAAAGCTAGGTTGTTCAAAATACCTTCTCACAGCCTCACTTGCTTATAAAAGGAGCCACAAATGGCTTGTTCAAATGTTTTACACAATGTCTGATACAATAAACCCACATACACAAACTTAACTTTCCCAATAACACTGCAAGTCTCAACATGTGAGGAGGGGACTACAAGAGGTAGGAGTATCAAATAAGTCATCAACATATACCTTTGGTCTTGTGTCTACAACATACATAAACTGGCTCCCTGGGTTTGTTTGGCTAATGGCCTCTAGCAAGAGCTCATCGTCTACACAACGAGTGTAAAATCCAGACAGAGGCTGGCTACAGCGGCAAATGGCAGCCTGTAAGAAAAAGTGTATCAGTTGAGTGATCATATCCACAGGCGGTCAAAAATCCTCCTTGACCCCAGATTCTGTGAGTAGAGGAAAAGGATGAGGCAACTCAGGATAGTGTCCAAAGCCAAGAGAAATGTGGCTCTAAAGCCCAACCATTACACTGACACTGGACTCAGCCTCCTGCCTCCCCTGGGCATGTGGCTCTGATTTCCAACCTAGTATTGGCAAATCAGACTACAACAAAATCACATCTAGAGTGTTTCCTTAATAAAATTCTTTTCTCAATATGTAATGGGCTAGCTATTTTTTCCTGAAACTGCCCCTCTTTTCACAGTCCCAGTAATATTGTCCACATTAACCAAAGTTTGCAGTGGCAGCAGAATTCAAGGTAGAGGAAAAATGTAGAATTCCTTAAGAGAACAGGGTTCACTAGTTTCAGAAGTTAATGCCAAATCAGAAGGCTAGCTGGTTTCAAGCCATTTCAACATAAGAACAACATAGCTATTTAACAGGCATGTCTGGTAATGATCAGTTAATGGACTTCATTTTACTTTGGTGTGGTTTTTAAGGAGTCTATTCACTTTGATAGTTTGATACAAAAACACCCAATTGCATTACTATACTCTTTAGCATTTGAATAGTTGCCCACTTAAGAACTTGTCTATTTGTCTAGCCCCAGATCTCAAAGTGACCACAAAAAGGAAGAACTATTATCATTTCCTATGTAAGGGGACTCAAATGCAGAGGAGCCAAGTGCTTTCGTCCTATTACTTTAAATTATATGAAAAGTAGTGAGAAAGTACCAATGATATCCACATTCATAGTGGGAGGCCACGGTCCCCAAATATTCTCTCATACAAGTAACTCCCTTTCATTCCACAACTTCCCACCAATTGGAACCCACATAAAAGGAAAGAAACAAATGAACACACTAAAATGCCACTTAACATCTGTACAACATTTGACAATTTGCAAAGCACATATATATTTTTCTCTCACAAACCTTCGTAAGTATGAAATTCAGAGAAGTTAAATAACTTACTTGAGGTCACACAGCTGGTAAGTGGTAAGGTGACTTAAACACAGGTCTTCAAGAGGCAAGTTTAGTTCCCATAAGAGAACTTTATTTAACTCACGTTATTCTCTTTGTAGAGGTAGGAGAGTACAGGGACACGTTCTTTACTTCTGAACTTCGAACTTCCAACCACTGTTCCCAAGGTAACAGATTTAGGAACCACTATTTCAGGAGGGTATGTATTGCATATCTAAAAGAAAATAAGCTCAATATTGTTTTTACATTTTTTACAGACCAGAATTAGCAATCACTCAAGCATTAGCTGGCTGGTATTTATCATCCAGAATCATTCATTCCTCAGAAATAGGAACAAAAATATCCTTGGTATAAAAGCTTTTCCAAGTATGCTATTATTTTCCAGAAAGGAAGGTACTGAGACATATAAGAACAAAATGTACTTTTAGAATAACTAAAATCACAGGCAGAAACAGACATACAACTCTACCCTTAAATTCCTGTATTTGCCTATCAGAGCAAACAATGTAGATTATGAACAAGAAAATTAAAATGAAGAGAAGCAAATATAAGGCAAACAAGTGGAGAAGGAGGATATATGATGTATGCTTTCATAAACTACATGCTAGGTTCTTAGTATGCATAACTGGAGGACCTTTAAAACATTAGTGTGGAGGTAGAGGTATAGACATTTTAGGTGTGACTTACTCTATAAAAAGACTGACACATTTTCTCAAATTTACAAGCTTTTAGTGGTTACCAAAATACATTTTTCCAAAGTGACAGCAACAAAATATTATAATAACATAGATGTGACATTGCAAAATTAACTCTAATCACTCCCCTAAGTAAAAAATATCCCAAACATTTGACAACAGATCAAACAAATACAAAATGAAAAGGCAAAAAAGAAGTTCAAGGTAGATCATATCAAAAATGTTCTATATAACTCATTAAATCCATGTCCCCAGAATGTAGACCATTTGAACAAGAAATTGTGCTCTACCCATCCCCTTATCTGGACTTAACTTTGGAGAAGCAGGTCATCCAAAGAGAAATACATGGAGCTCCCCTTTTAGCTCAGAAGGCCATATACATCCAAAGAACCAACAAGAATATTACATAGCTCATTCAGGGGGCTTAGAAACATTTGAACTGGACACAATTCAGCGTATCTTCACTCATTTCTATCAAGAATGACACTAACAAGCTGCCTCACAGATAGCTCTGCCAAGTGACAGCTCATTAATCCTCATACCTAGTAGACATTCAAAGCTATGTTATCAGAAAGCCATTACAATTACAATCTTACTATGATGGTAAAAAGCTGGAAATAAGGATCCAATAATTCAAGGATATCACTTAAACACCAATGACTCTCTATGCAGAAAAATTATCACAGCAGGCCTGGCTACTATTCTTAGAAAGGCCTATATGTAAAATGGGCCCATGGTTGCTGCCTGGGAACTTGGATTTCAGGAGGCTATCCACCATTCCCTAATTGGTAAGAGTGTCTGATTGGGCCTAAACTGTTTGTATGAACAATGTCACTTATGCTATACACCTGCTTTCCTTCTGGGCATCTGGAACTAGGCAGAAGGTACTTATATGAGTAGCCCCCAATAAAAACCCTGAATACTGAGTCTCTAATGCACTTCCCTGGTAGACAACATTTCACATATGTTGTTACAATTTGTTGCTGGAGGAATTAAGCATGTCCTGTGTGATTCCACCAGAAGAAGTCTCCGGAGGCTTGTACCTGGTTTTCTCCAGAATTCATCCCATGAGGCATTTCCCTTTCCTGATTTTGCTTTGCATCCTTTCACTGTAATAAATCATAGCCATAAGTACAACTATATTCCAAGTCCTGTGAGTCCTCATAGTGAATTACAAAACCTGAGGGATGGTCATGGAGATCCCCAACGCATTCCTAGACCTTTATATTTGCCAGAGCTCTTTACTGAGATGCAGACCCAAATGTTTGATATTGAATAATTGATATCTTTTTAATCACCTTAAACTCAAGTGTAAAACTGAAGACACTGTCTGTAGCTCTTTTTGTGGTCCTTATCGTGGCTAACATCTTCGCTACTCACTTGGTTACCAAAGCCAGGAAACCAGGAAACCTGGGATGCATACTATACTCCTTCCCTTTTTACCACATTTGATCTGTTACCAGGTTTTTCAATTCTATCACCTAAATATCTTTAAAACTATCTCTTCCCCTCCATCTGCAGTCATTGCCTTAATTTATGTTTTCTACTTCACATGTTATTCTCCTGCATTTCTAGCTCCAGCAAACCAATTCTCCACACTAAGAACAAAGTTATCTTTCCAAAACATAAACACATCCATGTTCCTTTCAAGCTTAAAATACTCTCATGGCTCCCAACTATCTTCAGGATAATGTTCAAATTATTTAATTTGGCCATGAAGCCCCTCATGATCTGGCTTCACTTCCTGGCAATCTTCCTTCTCCCCTAGTATAATTTAGGATAGAGTTCCTTCACAAGGATATTCCCCAAAATATCATGCTGTTTCTGGCTTCTCAGGATAATTTTCATATCCCTCATCTATGCTTCCATAGTACCCTATGCTTTAGACTATGAGATCTCTAACTCAGTGCCTCAAGTACAGTAAGTGCTCAATAAATGCTTATTGATGACTGAATACTAAATGAAAAGGAAAGACTATGAGTGACTTTCCTCTTTCTTTTTTCAGTGTCTCGTTTGCTGTTATTCTGCCATTTTAATTAAATACAACAAAAAGATAACAACAATGACAAAATTACCTCATAGTTTCTGTTGGCATCTGTTATGGTCCAGTACCTATTGGGTATTCCCATTCGCCCAAAGTCTGATACTGGGTCAATCAGTTTCCACCCAATTTCCCTCATCTCTTTTGAGGATTTAGGATTATAAGAAAAAGCATAAAGATCTTCAGGTAATTCTGGAGAAGAGATACAGGCAAGGAAACAAAGTAATGATGAGTAAAACTTAAAGATCACCAAACAATGCAAATAAAAGCTAAACTTCCTTCTTCCAAAGGGAACGTTTGTCAAACAGCCCCAGAAAAGGACTATGTTTTCTGTATAAGTTTGCCTTTATGTAACGAATAAGAACAGGAATATTATTTCAGGTTCTTCTTCTAAAAATGTTTTAATTTTTTGTGATACCAGTACAAAGTGGGATCTTTCTGCATGGTTTCCTACAAAAATTAATGCTGGATAATAGACTGAATTGAAGCTTCAGTGTTTCACATGTTAGGAAAGCAGTCCTTACCAAAAGTTTTTAACTGGGCTTCCATGTCCTAATTGCACTGCTTGTTGCAACAAGTTGCACAACATTAACAATATTCTTGTATTCTCCTTGTCAAGCCAACACCAGCTGATGGCTGATAAGTGGCCATTTCTTCTCTTCCCTCTGTCAGTCCTACTTCCTCCTTTCACAAGATACAACATGCAAACAAATAACTCATTTGACTGATTTATGTGGCAACAACTTTTCCAGAGATGAATGGAGACTACCAGAGACTTATAAAGTCCTAGGCTGGCTGGCAGGTAACTTTGTCAATATAATATCAGCAAATACTAAGGAATTATTCTGGGGAAAGAGGGGAAGAAAACAGGGTGGAAGGCTGGGTGCGGTGGCTCATGCCTGTACTCCTAGCACTCTGGGAGGCCTAGGCAGGAGGATTGCTTGAGCTCAGGAGGAGTTGGAGACCAGCTTGAGCAAGAGTGAGACCCTGTCTCTATTAAAAATAGAAAAAATTAGCTGGACATGGTGGCACGTGCCTATAGTCCCAGCTACTCAGGAGGCTAAGGCAGGAGGATTGCTTGAGCCCAGGAGTTTGAGGTTGCTGTGAGCTAGGCTGACGCCATGGCACTCTAGCCCAGGCAACAGAGTGAGACTCTGTCTCAAAAAAAAAAAAAAAAATGAAAAAAAGAAAAGAAAAAAAAAAGGGAGAGAGAGAGGGAAAAGAAAAGAGAATAGGAGGGAAAATGTAAGAGCATGGAAATCCCACAGCTAAAATCAGAGGGAGCTGATGAGTTAGATGCCTAGAAGTGGGGGCTGGGAAATGAGAAGGTGAGGCTGGAGGAAGCAGGAATAAGTGCATTACTGAGGACTCCCATAAAATGCCCTTGTTTTCTTTCTAGTTGGAACTGAAGGTAGGGGGTGGGAACAGTAGGAAAAATGTAAAGTGTGCAGGATAACAGGAAACCAATTTTGTTCCAAAGGAATCTTCCTGAACTGATGAAACATTTAAAAACTGATACTCAAAAGGAAGGAGGGAGAGAGAAGAAAATAGCTATTAAACATCTATTATTATATATACTAATGCATGAATGTGTTCAAGCCTCAAAACAACCTCCTCGGGAAACTTTCACTCCCCTTAGGTGAGGAAGCTGAGTACAAAGGATATATAACTTGCCCAAATACCATGGAGCTAGTAAGCAGATCTAAACCCTGCTCTAAGTCCATAGCTCATGATCTTTCCAATATGCTATTCTGGAAAAAAAATTAAAATGGTTTTAGATAGAAAATACTATCATAACTACCTGGCTGAGAAAGCTTGAGCAGTGAAATATAAACCTCATGGCACACAAGGTCAGAGTCTAAAACAAAGTGGGCCACCCGGAAGTTTTTGCAGCGGAGAGTCAGGGGACAGCCCAAGCTAGTGATGGGTAACTTCTCAACAGTGGCAATGTGATGGAGTGCAATCTGCAAAACAGAAAAGAACCAGAGTAAACATACAGATGTGCACTGTCTCTATTATTATCAGTGTGCCTGACATTTAGTAAGGGTAACAGCATGGCCAGAGATGTGATCACATTTACAGCCTTTGAAAGATACAAATCAATATCCTTTGAAAGACATAACTGGGATTCTCTCAAACAGAACTAAAGCATAATGGTGGAAAAGCAACGAGAAGCAAATTGCAGTGTGAGAAAACTTCTCTCTCTTTAAGAATATAAGATTAACAGGTTTACAGGACAATTTTGGTAAATTAGTTCAGAATAGATGGCTTTTAGAATGCTCTGGTATAGTTTATGATCAAAGAATAATTGTTACAAAGGAAAACAGGACTTCCTTTTGTTCTATCAAATTATTATTTAAAATAATGATTAATAATTGGTATCATGCTTTATTATTCATAAGACAGACCATGACCATTAGCTTTTTAATCCCTATAAGAGTCCTTTGAGGTACAACCATCCTATTTCAGGAATAAAAAAACCAAAGCTCTGAGAAGTAAATTCCTTATCTAGGTCACACAGCCAAGAAGTAGCACAAACAGGATTTGAATCACGGCAGTCTAACACCAAGTCCAGGGTTCTTTACCTAGGAATTCTAAAAACTCTAATTCTGGAATGTGAATTTAACTAGAAACACTTGGAGGAAAATATTCTCCTACATTTTATATACTAGTAACAGTAAAGCAAAGAATGTAGGATGATTACTCCTGCCCATGCTGATGCCAGCAAAAGAAGAAATGCATGGAAAGGGAACCAATAAAAGAAAATATGTCTAATATAATTCTTTATATATAAATTTTAAAAGTCCATATAATCATAATTTTGTGTTTTAATATTTGACATTCTCCTCCTATCCATGTCTGATGTTTCCTGCAACTATAAAGACTGGATGTACTCTTTTCAGTCTCTGGACTCCCTGTCCCGTGCCTGGAATGGCCTTCCAAACAACATTGCCTTTTCTTCTCCTCCCCCATGCCCAAGGCCCAAATTTACCTGTAAAAGTCATCTCTTCCATGAAATCTTTCAATCATATGTACCATTTAAGAATGGAGCATGTGTGGAAATGATTCACATATTCCTAGGAGGAATTTTCTATCTCCATTTCCATTTTAATTATTTCATCAAAGTCAGTTCCTTCCATGGCAGTTTTGGAGGGGCCACAAAAACTCTTGATAATGCAACAGGAATTAATATACCAAATCTCAAGAAAGTCAAATTCCTGTCAGCCAACATGGAAGATGTGTATTTGGGTAGCAAAACATAGATCATGGAGATCAAGGGCCAGGCAAACCAACTGTGGTGAAATTGGGAAGGGTCGGGTGAAAGTGGGGCAGCCTAAGACTGGAAAGAACTTCATTAATAAAATTAATTGGGTAAATAAGCCTCCTCTGACATACAGAAATAAGTCTAAGTTCTCTCTTCCAGATCCAGTCTAGTAGTTTGAAATAATACTTGCCTAGAAACAAATCTGGGGACATGTGTACTGTCTTTAAATGCAAGTAGACAGGAGATAGACTCATGACATGGTACCAGAGAACTGGTTCCTAAACCATTAGAACTAGAAGAGTCCTTAACTAATTGTATAATCTAACCACCTCATTTTGAGGAAACATACCCAGAGAGGGAGATTCACTTGCCCAAGGTCACATAGCAAGTTAGCATCAGAGCTGTGCCTAGGCCAGCTCTCCTGATTCCTCTTTTGGCATTTCTTTCATCACAACAAAGGAAACAAAAGACAATCTCATATGGACAAAGCACAAGGGATTTTTCAAAGGAAGTATTAAAATACTTCTTTCATATGCATATTAAGTTTAATTTATTTTATATAATAGCATTCTCCGTGTCCCCAGTACTGTTTTAGGCACTTATAAACATTAACTTTGTAATTCTCATACCTTGTTTAAAATAATTCAAGGTATTATTATTATCCCTATTTTACAGATGATGCAACTCAGACACAGAGAAGTTAAATAACTTGCCCAAGGTTACAAAGGTAGTAAATGTTGAACTAGGATTTCAACCTAAGCCGACCAGCTCTAAAGCTTGTGATCCTAATCACTATGCTATGCCATATATATGAAGCATGTTGTACTTGTTATAAATGAAGAGGTCTAAGTATAAATCTGGCTCATGATTAAGTTAAGATTAAACTATGATGCTGCTTTAGGATGGGGAAGGCATAAAGTATTGTTAGGGGTGCTGAAATAATTAGAAAACATTGTTTAAAAATATAACAAGAAACACACACACACACCCTGGTGAAATCCTGTCTTAGTACAGAAAGATGGTTTAAATCAGCACTAGTCAAAATGTAGTCCATGAGCCTTCAGCACCAGCCTTACCTAAGCACTTTTTAGAAATTTAAAATCTTAGGCTTGAGATTCTGCACTTTTAACAACTTACCAGACGATACAGATGCTGCTGGTCTTATACTTCATTTTATGGGTAGCAAGGCTTTAAATTACTTCAGGAAGCTTACAGACTAAGTTGAGAAAATGAGCAGAGACTACTTTACCCCAAAATAATTGAGCTAAACCCCCCCATAGGAACATTCCCATGGAGACTAAAATGAGTAAGATGACTAGAGCCAACAACTTGAGGGAAGAGGAGTCATTTAGACTATCAATAGACTCCTAGAATAGGCTCTTTGAAGAAAACATTTTACAGCAATTTAATAATGATATTGTACATTTCAAGAAAATACCATATAGAAAGCATGTATGCATAACTCTTTAAGATGCTTTGATATTTCTTCTCATGAACATACCCATGTTTCTTTCCGGGCTGCACCAGAAGCCTCCACATAGATCAGGTGAGTTGCAGTAAGATACAGAATCCCATTAGCTGGTTTCTTACCCACATAACGATCCAGTAATTTCACATTTTCTACCTGTTATTTTGGGGAAAAGAAATACTGATTATGTTATCAACTCACCACCTGTGATTAAAGTGGGACAATTCAAAGCAAGATAAATGCTGTTAATTTGCTATAAAACTTCTTTAGGGCATTCCAGTTCCTGCCATGATGGCAAACTAGTATGATCTGTATTTACTTTTCTGAAATCAGCCCTGGAAAAACCATAAAAGTGAAAAGGAAACATGTATTCTAGGAAGAATCAAAATTCTAGACAATGTTTACATGATGGGGTGGTAGGTGTGAGTGGAAAATATATAGAACCTAAGAGTCTGCTGTGGTACTTATCTTGTTGGAGGGAAGGTGAAGTTACTGTATGTGTAAAAAAAATCAATAAGGGGAAATAACATGAGAACAGATCATAAGTTATAGGGCAAGAATAAAATAAAACATGAAAGGAGAAAAACAAAAAACAAAAAGAGAGTACCATAAATGGAAAGTATAAAATGAAATGCCAGAAATAAGTCCCAATATAACAGTAACTGCAATAAATGTACATGAGTTAAACTTATCAATTAAAAGCATGCATTGGCTGGGTGCGGTGGCTCACGCCTGTAATCCTAGCACTTTGGGAGGCCGAGGCAGGTGGATTGCTCAAGGTCAGGAGTTCGAAACCAGCCTGAGCAAGACCCCGTCTCTACCAAAAATAGAAAGAAATTAATTGACCAACTAAAAATATATATACAAAAAAAAAATTAGCCGGGCATGGTGGCGCATGCCTGTAGTCCCAGCTACTCGGGAGGCTGAGGCAGAAGGATCGCTGAGCCCCGGAGATTGAGGTTGCTGTGAGCCAGGGTGACGCCACGGCACTCACTCTAGCCTGGGCAACAAAGTGAGACTCTGTCTCAAAAAAAAAAAAAAAAAAAAAAAGCATGCATTAAACATGAATTAAACTTACCAATTAAAGGGCAGACTTACACTCTGGATTAAAACAAAAGATTTAACAATATTCAGGCTAGAAGAGAGATACTAGAGACACAAACAAGTTGAAAATAATATGACCAAAAAATAAATACTAGGTAAATATGAACCAAAATAAAGGTGGGGTAATATTCTCAATATCTGACAAAAAATATAATTTACATGACAAAGAATAGGACAAGAAGATATAACCATCATAAATATATATGTATCTTATAATACAGTTTCAAATTATATCCAGCAACTAGCAGAACTGGAGAGAGGAAAAGAACAAGTGCACTTGGATATTTTAACAGTCTTCTTAGGAACTGACAGGTCAAGTAGACAAAAAAATCAAGTAAAGATATGGAACACATTACAACTAAAAAGCTCAAGCTATCAGATATACAAAGTAGAACTCTACATCCAACAAATAGAGTACTGAATCATTCAAGACAACAAAAAGAACATTTCAAAAAAGACTATGATTACATTTGTAAAGAAAGCCTTAATAAATCCCAAAGGCTCAATATCATACAAACTATGTTCTCCAACCATAATGCAATGAAATTAGAAATTAATAACAAAAAAACCAATATTAGCATACATTTTGCAACAAAATAGATTATTATCAAATTAACCTTGGGTTAAAAGGAAATCATAAAAGAAATTAAGAAATATTTAAAAATGAATAATAAAATGAAAATTTGTGGGACACAGTTAAAGAACTAACAAGGAAATGTATAGCTTTAAGTACATTTGTTATGAGATGATAAATGAGAAAAGTTAAAAATAAACTAGCTAAGAGCTTTAGAGGAGGAGCCAAGATAGCAGAATAGAAGTAGCCCACACATGCCAATCTCAAGGAGAGGATCAAAAGTTGCAGGTGGATGCCCACCTACAGATGGGCCCACTTGGAGAGAGCATAGTGAATCATCAGAGATGTGATGGGGGATATTCAGAGTAAAGGAGAAGGTGATGAGGTGATTCACTTGGCAAGACTGGAAAGTACCTGAAGAAGGCATCCCAATGTGGGGAAGAACAGGAGAGAGACCTGGGGCTCCATGCTCTCCCCACAGATACTGCGACCTGAGCTGTGAAGGGGCCTCCACTACCACAGTCCTCCTGACTGATGGGGAAGCTACTTGGAGTCTGTGCAGCTACAAAGCACCAGAGAGCGAGCACAGCAGGAACCCAGTGGCTTCCATTCATTCCTAGGATGCTGCAAGTGATGCCATTCTGAGCTCTCAGGTATACACAAGGCTTGACTTTGCTGCAGCCACCTCTGCATCAACCTGGCTTGGCTGGGGAGGGAGCAGGGAGAGCAGATGCTGCCATCTATCCAATTACTGGGAGCCAAGAACCAGTCATCCCCATGGGGGATTTGAGCAGAACAGGCACAGCAGATGTCACCACCGAAGCCCTGCAGTGACTGCCTATGTGGGACCTAGGCAGGGAGAAAGGCTCAGTCCCACAGCAGCCCAGCATTGTGGCCCTGTCCCCATGACAATCATGCGGCCACCCAGCCCCACAGCTCTGCCATCACAGTTCCCATGCTGCAGCCTGGCCCCGCAGCCCAGACTCCCAGCTGCTGCTGGGCCCTGCAGCTCCACCCCGTGGGCTCCTGCAATGCAGCCAGAACTTGTCCCCACCCCTGTAATCCAATGCTCCACCAGCGACCCACTAGCCTCAAGTCTCCATTGCATCTGGACTCAAAAGGAGTGAACGCCCACAGCCCTGACACAAATGACCACTACCCAGATAGCTTTGCTTAGCTGCCATTGTCACCATCATGGAGAGACCCTGGCAGAGTAATCTTCCACAACACCAGCCTCCATGAGAGGGACTCATCCAGCCCCTGACCTGAGCTTCCAACAGTAGCCTGGGGACCAACCCACCACTCTCCACGAACATCATCCACCACTGGCATGGACTCTAACAATCACAAGGGAATACGACAACACAGAAAAGCTGCATTACAGACTCTCAGTTCATGTATCCTTCTCCTACAGGTCACTATTCCAGAGTAGGACACAAATGTACCATCAAGGGAACTTTCCTTCTTCTCACTAAGTAGGAGAGTTCCTAACAAAAAAAAAAAACAAAAACAAAAACAGGTGTGCTGCAAACCTATCTGCCCTGAGCTAAGAGGTCTCATGTGAGAAGAAACCAGCAAAAGAACTCTGGAAACATGAACAAAACATGTGAATTCTACAACCCGATGAATTCTACAACCCCAAGGGATCACATGGATCTACAGGAATGGATCCCTATCCAAAGGAAATTGTCACAATGTCAGAAATGTAATTCAGAATATGGGTGGCAAACAAGATGAATGGGATTGAAGAGAAAGTTGAAAACCAATAAAAAGAAGTCAAAAAAATATTTCAGGTCATCAGTGAAAAAAACTGAAAAAGTTGCTAAAGAGCTAAACAACATAAGAAAGGATGTAACAGAACTTAAAGAAATGAAAGAGACATTTAGGGAATTTCAAAATATAGCAGATAGCGTAAACAGACTAGATCAAGCAGAAGAAAGTATCTCAGAGCTTGGATAAAGCTCTCAAACTGACATAGTCAAAGATGCAAAAAAAAAAAAAAAAAGAATAAAGAGGAATGAAATCTCAGAGAAATATGGGACTATGTGAAGTGAATCAATATACAAATTATAGGTATCCATGAAGGAAAAGAAAAAAAAGCAAAAAACATGGAAAACCTATTCAAGGGAATTAGTGAGGAAAACTCCCCTGGTATCACCAGAGATTCAGATATCCAGATACAACAAGATGGTCATCAAATACTAGGAAGATTCACAGCAAAAAGAACAAGTCATCAACTTGGCTAAAGTCAAAATGAAAGAGAAAATTCTACTAGCTCCAAGACAAAAGTATTAATAACTAACCTACCAAGGAAAACCTATAAGGCTAATAGCAGACTTTACAGCAGAGACGTTACAAGCCAAAAGGGATTGGGGCCCCATTTTTAGTCTTCTTAAAGAAAACTGCCAGCCAAGAATTTTGTACCTTATAAAACTAAGTTTCATAAATGATGGAGAAACAAAGACTTTTCCAGACAAGCAAACACTAAGGGAATTTCTCACTACTAGACCTGCCCTACAGGAAATACTCAGAACTGTATTATACATGCAACAGCATAATAGATACCCACCAGTGTAAAACACCTAAAAGTTAAAGCTCACAGCTCTTATAAAACAACAGCACAAGAGGGGAAAGAATGGTATCATACAATATGATAAACAGAACAGTATCTCAAATATCAATACTAACACTGAACATAAACAGTCTTAATGCCCCAATTAAAAGACACAAACTAGCTGAAAGGATGAAAAACACAACTATATCCCGTTTGCAAAAATCACATCTAACTGGCAAGGACTTGCACAGAATTAAGGTAAAGGGATGAAAAAAAAAATTCCACACAAATTGAAACCAAAATCAAGCATGTGTAGCCATTTTCATATCAGATAAATAGACTTTAAGTTAACAATGGTTAAAAAAACCCACAAACATCGTCATTATATAATGGTAAAGGGAGCAATTCAACAAGAAGACATAACAATCCTAAATATATACATACCTAACACAGGAGATCCCAGATTCATAAAGCAAATTCTACTAGATGTAAGCAAAGAAATAAACAGTAGCATCATAATTGCTGAGGACTTCAACACCCCACTGACAAATCATTGAATCAGAAAATCAATTAAGAAACACTGGACTTAAACGGGACTCTAGAACAAATGGACCTAACAGACATTTAAAGAACATTCTACCCCAAAACAACTCAATATATATGTATACACACACACACAACACACACTTCTCTTCAGCAAATGGGACATTTTCCTAAATTGATCATATCTTATGTCACAAAACAAGTCTAAGCAAATTCAGAAAAATTAAAATCATACCATGTATTTTCTCACACAACAATGGAATAAAACTAGAAATCAGTTCCAAGAGAAACACTCAAATCTACACAAAGTCATGGAAATTAAACAACCTGCTGCTAAATGATCCTTGGGTCAATAATGAAATTAAGACAGAAAGCAAAATA